TAGCGAACAAGTTCAGGCGAGCTTGTAGTCTAGCTTCATAGGCGAGCTTCATAGGCGAGATCGCAGACGAGCTTGTACGCGAGGTTAGCGAACCAACATTCAGGCGAACCTCTTGTAGGCAAGCTTCATATGTGAACCTCCACGTGTAGGCGAAGTCAAGTTATTCAGGCGAACTTGACTTGGTGTACACTTAGTTGTTCAGGCAAACAAGTAGAGTAGGTCATGTTCATGTGAACTTAAATATGCAGGTGAAGTCCAGTCATGCAGGCGAACTTCAACATTTATTTGTTAGGGATGAAATTTTATTTGCCTACAAAACCCCCTTCAAAGTTTTCTGACCCAGATTAGGTTGCATGTGGTCTGGAATACTTAAAATAAGAAAAATGATCACTCAGGCGAAGTAGAGGAATTTTCTGGAAAACTTGGCCATTATGGCGAAGTTGAGCTCTTCAGGCGAATTCAATGGGTTCAAGCGAACTAAGTATTCAGGCGAGCTTAGCATTGCAGGTGAGCTTGAATATGCAAGCGAGCCAGACAGCTACAGGCGAGCTTCAAGCGACTGCAGGCGAGCTTTGATGTTCGCCAGTAGAGGCGGTGATAGCGTGTTAGGTCGCATTAAATGCGTTGTGACATGGCTTTCTCGTTTTCACGCATTTGATCTGAGCCGTTGGCATCGTTTGGATCTCTAATCTCGGTTGTCGCTTCAATAATAAATCGTGGTTGTTGATTTTGAAAAATCGGATTTCAACCATTCGATTGAATTTGAAACGTCTCGTCGTTTGGATACTAAATCTGAACTGTTGAAACAAGAGCTAATCGCGACCGTTTGTTTTGAAACCGAACCATTTCGCTCAATCAACCCCGCCGCTTTGGTTGAGATATTGAATCTTAACCATCGACTCCTTTGCCTATATATAGGCTTCGCCTCCCTCGTGGAGAAGTTTCTGCGCACTCAAACTTCCTTCGCTTGAATATCAAAAATTTTTGAGCGAGTTTCTTGTTTGTTGCGATCTTTCGACATGGCATCCAAGATCAAAGCTCCCGCTTCCAAGGGAAAGGGTAGGGACTCTACTTCGGCTGTTTCTAGTGTTGCTCCACCCTCTTCAGGTAAGCTTCAAAAAAACTATGTTACGGGGTTTGGAGAAGATGAACAGGTGACGTTCATTCTTCTGGCGAGCTTCACTTAGTCAGGCGAGATTCAGCTGTTCAGGCAAACTTCGCTTGTAAGGCGAGGTTCAGCTATTCAGGCGAACTTAGTTGTCAGGCGAAGTTAGCTCGGTCAGGCGCACTTCCATAGTTTGCTAGTTTAGCTAAGCTTGCATGTATGGCTTGCCTCGCCTGTTTTAGGGACTTAAGCAAAATGTTGACTTCATCAAGTATATCAGTAGGGCTCGCCTGCATAACTGAGTCTACCTGAATTGAGGACTCGGCAAAAATTTTCCCATTTTCAAAGAGTCTTAACTTCTTATATTTCTTTGTTTTTGCAGTGGCTTATTCTGAAGAGGCTCTCTCCCAAATCAGTGCTATTGGCCATGCCAGCGGGGTAGGGTTCTTTATTCTAGCCAGGTTCCCTATTCATAAACATGTACCAATTTTCTCCCCGATAGCTCTGCGGTGCTAGATAAGAGAGTTTCTAAAGGACATTATCTCACGCTTGGAGAACTAATCATAGATGATGTGATGACCGAATCAAAGCATAAGAAGATGGAAGAAGCCCAGCTTTCTTTTTGGTGATGCAAAAGCTGATCCAACAAGTCTGCTCCTTGGTGAGAGCAGATGGTTACATATTGTCGACTGTTAGACCCTAGAGAGGGGGGGAGGGTGATTAGGATCTTATATCTTATTGCTAATCTAATCCGATTTTATGCCAATTAAAACGTATTAATAAATTATTCTTGCAAAATAGATATACAATATGTTATGAGCAAGAATAAATAATATGAACAAAGGTAAATATCCTAGCAATGAGATATACTATGAGATATATGCGATGATATACAAATAACAAAAAGGTAAACAATCTAAACTAGATAGTGGGCAATATAAGCAACAAACAATATACAAATGTGATATAAGATATGAACATAAAAATAAGTGCGCCAATGCAATCACAAACAAACAATATGTTCACGGAGTTCGGTCCCGACGACCTACGTCTCCGCTCATCACTTCGAGGAGATCTCCACTATTACAATCGGGTTTCCTACGCTCACCCGAATAACGTTTACACCACACAATATCGATTTTTTACGCTCACCGATCAACGTTCACAATTTCACAATGTAACTACACTCCACACCCTCTAAGTGTTGTTTTATATTAAAACTTAAAAACTATTAAACCAAAATATATATGTATATATATAACTATATATATACATAGAAAGTACAATTAAAGTGTGCATATATATATAACTACATATATATACAAAGAAACTAATAAAATGTGTGTGTATATATGATTGAGCTTAAAGTACTTAACACACATAATATAAACTCCTAAACTAGATTACCCAAGCTATACGTCTTCAATAAGCTCGACTTGATAAACTTACGGATGAAGCTTGAACTTGGATCTTTAACTTGAATTGCATTGCTTCACTTCACTATTTCCGCCAACCTCCATTTGATATGATCATTATTACGTAATTCCATCCAACCTCCAACATGTTGTTTATCTATAATAAATAGATAAACACAAACACTGGATAAATAATATTAGTGGTAAATTGTTTGTTAAACATCATCAAAACAAAGAGGCCAACAATCTCCCCCTTTTTTTATGATGATAAACAGTTTACAAAAAAGATATATGCATGAAAGAAAATGAATATACAATATTATAATTATCATGCATATAAACAAAAAGAATATGCTCATAATATTTCTCTCCCTTTGACAACATCAAAAAGAGGAAACCAACAAGAATAAAGAGAGCGAAAGCCCCCCTACCTATAAGCATGAGTGAGTATAAAACAAGTATAAGGATTGCTCCCCCTATCAAAATGCCTCATGAATGTATGAAATGAAGGCTAAGGCACACATGTGAGTTAGCATAGATAAAAACATGCTAAAAATTACTCACATATATCAAGATA